TTAAGTTATTCAACACAAACCAACCAGAAGCAGGTACTAGGACAGTTCACTGACTACAACAGGGAAGGATACATTACCATCATCAACAGTGACTTTGATGATGGGAGGTTTTTTTGTATCATACTACTTTCTTACTTCTGCACCACCATCAAAGGTATATGTGGTGTACAGAAGAGCAAAGGGAACAAAGTTTTTAACTATTTCAATCAAAAGGCCCAATTGGCCAAACCTGGGCATGAGAATAAATTGAAATTGGCAAACATACATCACTGAACCCACACAAATTTGAACCAGGTGAGGAAACAGACCACTCACTGCAGAGAAACTTTGGGTTCACAACTGAAGGCACACACCAGTCCATTTTCAGTCACTGACCCTGACAACTGACGAGAACCCCAAGTTTCTTGGGGCCACACCTCAACTGCAAGCATGAACAGCATTAATGTGCAGAGCTCTGTAAAAAAAGCCAGGTTCTGTGCCCCTGGAACAACACACATGAAACCAGCAGGTCTTGGGAAATTCCAGATCCCTCAGTCTCATGCAGTAAAGTAGTGCGTAATTTTAAATTATTGGGACTTATGGCCATACTTATCTGACTTAGTTAACAGGAAAAGCCATATTTGTATACTTAAGTTAGGCATAATTTAGCAAAACTACAATTATAAATTTGCACGCAACGGTGACAACAGTTACACAAGAAATTGCATTTGACATTTCTGTCCCCTTTTAAAAATATATATTTCAAATAGTTTTAATCTCTCTTACTTTTCTTTAAAAGAGCCATGTGTCCTGTTGGATGAGAACAGTGATCTGTGGTAAAATAAAAATAAAAAAATAATTTAAGAAAAGAAGAGACAAAAATCATTAATCCTAGCAATGAATACTAATTAGTTATTTCAGGGACAATGTTTTGCATCATCAAATTTTACTGTCGATCTTGTAAAACTGAAGTCTATCTTTGTAAATAACTTCTGGGATAAAACTATTACACATTTTAATTTAAGCCACTAATAGGTTGAAAGGAACAGCATTTTAATAAATTCCATCCAATCAACTACATCAGTAATAACTAGGATTTTTTAACATCTTTTAAAGTAATGTGTGAAGAGGTATTAAAACACCCACTGATGCAATTTGTAAATACCTTTACATTTATCTCTGACCTCATCAAAACCATAATAACAAGCACAAATACTAATCTCTTACTGGAGCAGAGTCTTTCAGACTCTCAGAAAATCTCAGAGCAATCGTGAAAATACTTTGTAACAGCAGTATCCTTCCACTAACAGTAAGGGGGAAGTTTGTGCAATGTGGCTTGCATTTAAGCACATTATTTGTGATGCTGCAGAAAATGAGGTAGCATTCCCTAAAATTGTACCTCTAAACCAGACACAAGAGGGGCCATGACTTTATGTTTGAGAAGCTGATATACAGAACTATGGGAAATACAACATTCACTTGAATTCTGGACCCAAAACTACCATTAATGGAAAAAAACCCACCCCAATCAAAAAAACCAACAGCACAAGACAGCACCAGAGTTGGAGCCGGGGCTGTGTGTGGTGTGTATGCAGCTATGTGATCTAACCTTTACACTATGATAGCTGTATATAGGACAGAAACCAAGTTTTCCTGTTTCCATACATAAAGATATGGACACATTACAGCATAGATAAGGATATAAGATGATTTCTATGCATGCATAAAAATGAAGGTTATTCTGATTCCTTGAGAAGACAGATGGAACAGCAAGAATTCTTGAAACCTGAGTCACAAAACTGACCACTTCTCATTGGTTAATGCTCAAGTTCAGGCGGCATCCTAAATCAGCCTCTACTTCGACTAACAAGTTAAATGACAATAAAAATATTTTTAAAGTTAAGATGTGGCTTTGTTTACAAACCACTTACATTCATATGTATTTAGGTCCCAACAGATGACTAAATCGTAGTGAGAGAGGGTATTTCTGAAAGTTCTTTCACATCCACAGTACTTATCTACATTCCAGCAGCCCACTCTCATGTGGCATTAATTTACACAGAGAGGAAATCAAGCTTATCGGTCCAAAAAAAACCCACCAAAACACTGCTGAGAAAGCCCTTCTCTCATGCATTACATACAAGTATTGTCTTCTTATCCACTTAAAAAGTTGACTCATTTAGGTAGGCAGAGAGACAACAGAACCCCCTACACTCTCAGCATAACGTTGTAACCCCACTTTAGCTAATCACAAGCTTCCCTCAATTTCCACAGAGCTGACTGCTATCTTTTAATTAGCATTTGTAACGATAGTCACAAATAATACTAATGATCTCTGCACGATGAAAGCTGGATAGCCACAGCTTCATGGTATTTTCAGAAATGATTAAACCAACATAAACTGAAGCATGTTTTAAATCCAAACTCAGACAAACTCTCATACAAGTTTGAGTTCTAAAACTACAGCATTCCTAAGTCTCAGAAACTTAGATTGATTACCCACTGATTTTTAAGGAAAAAGAGGAATACTTGTTCTCCTGCAAATATTTACTGACTGTAGACATTAGTTCCTGGAACCTGGCAGTCCCTAACTCAGTTGCCAAATCCTGCAACAAAATGAGGGGCTACAAAAGGGAAAGCTCAGAAACAGTGACATTACTGCTCAGATATTTCCTGCTTAATTAGTCTTTTTACCTCTTCAAAGCAGCACAGTATTCGGGACTTCTCTCTCCTGAAGAGCTGTAGAGCTATTTACTTGGATCCTAGATAGCCCACAGCTGTAAGCACTCTTGCCAAAGCTTCCTTGACCATCATCCTCCTTTGAAGTCCCCCGCGCAAGGGCCTTACAGGGCACAGTAACAGTTTTAAGATTCAATTCCTTTTTCAAACTCTTCAAAGTTTACTTTGGAGTTGTGCTGGTTTTCTTTTCTTTCTCTGCTGCTGAGGAATAGCACAGAGTCCAGACGCCGCACTGAAGGAATGAGAGCCCATAAACCACTTCCAGATGTGCAGAACGATGATGCAGCCCCGGATCTGGCAAACTTGCCTCAGAGCTTCAGCTAGCAGATTGCAAACAAATCCCACAAGACAAAAAGTCTTAAGGGGGTGGGGGAAAGAGAAGGAAACAAACCCTTCCAGAAGTTACTTAAACAGTCTAGTTGCAGGTTAGGTTTGTAGTCATTATTTACGGTAAATGTGAACAGATAACTAGTGTGCTAGAGCCAAATAACATCATGCCAGAGTCAAACTGAAAGCCAAAGTTTTCCCAGCGCCTGTTTGCAGAGCTCTTGTGAGTGGAAAGTGAAGGGAAACTTACAAAATTCAACTCTGAACATGCATTTGGACTTGAATCATGTTATTTCCAAATCTTTGAGCACTTAAGAGAATCTGAATGCACAGGTTTGGTTTAGATTTAAAGGGACCTTAGATCAAGTTAACTAGCACATGTTGGTACTCTGCCTCTTAAGGTAATGCTTTTGCAGTTTTATTTCTATGTCACTTCTTTGATTCAAATTCTCCCCACCCCTCTTCTAGGAGCCTCCCTTCTATATGATGAAACACTGTTTTGTTACAAGACTTTCAGGAGTACTGAAAGGAATAATAACCATCATCAACTCTAAACTTTTTTTCATATTTTTTGACATAAGGCAGTGAAAAATTTATGAGGGGTATTCAGTCAAGGTTTTAAAAATCATGAATTGCTTTGAATGAAGATATTTGCTCTATTTGCAGAAACTAAAAACGTCCGTTTTCAGCTCTATGTCTGAAATATAACAAAACTGTCTTATCTGTGCCTGATTTTGAACAGAAATCCACCTCTTGCAGAGCTGCTTGAAGGAAGACTAAATGAAGGCTATACATAGTTATGTGCTTCATGTAGATGGCCACAACTATTACTACTTTTTCTGTACTGCAGTATTTTTTTTCCAAGCTGCATTATGCTCACATTTGTCAAAATCCACCCGTGTTTTGTTCACCTCCTTTCCATGTGCATCCTGAACAGATCTAGGATGCACACAGCTGGGCAAGCCCAGAGCATCGGGACCATCTGCTTCACCTGGCAATAACCCATGGATTATTGGCAACCTAGCAGCACCTTCTCTGGATTTCCCTCCACCTCGTGTATTTATAGTCTCACTTAGCACTCCCCTCACACAGGAAAGAGAGTGGCTTCTGTCCTGCAGAATGAGATCTTCAGGTTTACTCAGATCACCCGCTGTTAACTGTAGAACTGAAACCTGTTTCCGATCTCAACCTCCAGTGTTTAAGAGGCAACTCATTTCTTTCTCAGATGCATACCTTGCAGGCTGCATACCCTGCTTACCATTAGCAAATTATAAAAAAAACCAAAAAAAACCCCCAACAAAACCCCCCAGATTGCTGCACAGTTCTGAGGGCTTGAAGTTGGTTGGCGCAGCTGGTTGGCTGCCCTCAGCTAAACCAGCACACACCACATCCATGGTGACCCGAGCACCCCAGTGGACCGGGCCAGCGGGGAGCAGCCCCCTCTCCCTGCCGGGGAGCGGGGAGGGCAGGCTCGCCTCCCCCGGGCGCCCGAGACAGGCCTCCCGCCGAAGCACGGCCCAGATCGAGGGGCTCCGAAGGGGCAGAGAGGCCTGAGGCAGAGACGGCAGCCTCCAAGTCACCGCCCTGCACCCCTCAACCGGCCCCCGCCTCGGGGAAAAGGACCAACAAACAACCCCCACCTCCCCTCAGCGCCGAGGGACCGTTATCCCCTCAGGGAGGAAGGTAACGGCCGCCGCCGTCACGTGACCCGCGGCGGCGCCC